AAAATGTAGTAATATAATGCAATTTGTTTCCAGATGGTCAGTGTTTCTACAAATACAAAAAGTAAACGGTAACTTTTAATAGTTACTTTCACAATTAATAGTTATTCTGAAAGTAACTTTGGGTGCATTCCTCCCATTGTGGGGTTCCATTTCCGAAGGCTTGAGGTGGATAGGGAAGGGGTTACTCCAGCTCCAGGGGTTTCTTCAGGGTCCTGGACGCATGGAGGGGTTAGGTGCTCACCCCTCCCCCCACCCACGTGGTCCCATGGCTCCGGAGAGACAGCACCCAGACGTGGAGAGGAGGCGAGAGAGTTTTTATTGATGAGGTGGTTACATTTATAGGGTTTTGGAGGATTCAGAGAGTGACCAATTACGGGGTCAGGGGTCTTACAAAACACCCAATCGCAGGCAGGGGTTAAAGGTCCAATGAGAAGACTTCTTGGTATCTTCCAGGACATTCCTGGGACAGAGATAAGATCTGGCCATGGGGGATTTTGGGAAGAAGAAAGCACAGGGACCACAAAAAGCCATTTTGAAACACTTTCAAACCACAGTTTTCCCATATAATGCAGGTTTACTGCTACAAGTAACCTTGATTTTAGTGATCACTCTTTAAACAGCAGACTGCCAATGTAATTCAGGCTCATTTTAGGCAAAAGAGTTGGTTACAACCCAGAGTCACTATTTCTAATTACCCTAACCCAACTTCTTTGAAGTTTGCTTCACTTAATTGTTTATCCTTGATACCAGTTGTATACATGAGTTTTTGGATTCATTCTTGAGGTGTAGTTTAGTAACCATGGGTCTCTGCTGACTATTGAAAACTACTAATAGAAAAAATAAATGAATACTAGTTATACCACTATAGGTTGTTTTATTTTGGGCTTTTTTTGTTGTTGTTGTTTATTTGGGGGTTTTGGGGGGGATGGTGTTTGAAGCAAAATGACTTGAAAATGACAGAAAATAGCCTGTACTGTTTGAAATCATAGGTGGTTAAAGACACTCTTGCTTTGCAATTGGCTTAGCAGAAAATCAGCCTGAACTATTTTGCCAGTGTATCTCGGATAATGTGAAAGAGCTGCCACAGAAAAAGTGAAACGCCTTACAAATGCCTTCATTGCCTGATAAGTAAGACTTTTTCAAAATGGTACTCTTTGTGAATGTATGGGGCCAGTCAGTAATTCATTTTCATGTTTCTGCAGAAATATCACATTGCAATTGAACACTGTATATCTAATGATCTCAACACAGGTCCCAGGGAGTGAGAAGGGCTCTTGGGAGAGCTTTACTCTAACACAAGTCCTCCACATACTCTGCTTATTCTGAATTGCCTGACAATTTATGGGAGAATTCATTCTCTGAGACTTTAATATGTTCCAGAATGCGCCAGCCTTGGGAAAAATGTAATGGTTACAATGGGAAAAGAAGGAAAAAGATTTGGGAGGTTTTCATTTGTAGTGTATTCCACTCAGTTTCTACAGACTTAAGGGGGAATGTGGCCTCTATTGTAGCTTTACATTTCCCTTTGCTCTCCTCCTGGAATAACTTCCCTAGTAGTATGAAAAGGCATCATTGTAAAAGATTCACGGTCAGGGAATTATGTGCTGATCTTTGTTCGTTATGCAAATTTCTACTGATGGGAAGGTATGATCCAGGCAATAATCAGTATTTTTCCCTTTTAAGCCAAGTCTAAAGGGCACATCTAAAAGACTAGGATGGTTTCAGGCAAACTTAATCATTGATGTAAATAGGCATAATTTAATAATTTAATCCTTCTAAGGTGCACTCTGTACTACAAAGAAACAGAATCAGTATCCATAATGTATGGCCTATATATATTCATATATTCATTTCAAGATAGTTACACATTAAGTAGCTTAAGAAATACTTAAATATGCAGCTGTATTTTCTAGGTATGGGGAGAAATAAAAAGGCTATGGCTGGGAAAAAGTTATGCTTTTTGAGATGATCAAAATTCATGTTCTCTCAAGTACAGATTATAAATATAGAAAGTGGTAACATATCCAAAATCTCTCACTCTTTTTCTAGACTGCACTCGACTACCAAAATCAGCTTGGTATCATATCACGTTACAAAATCAGGCTCTGAAAGTCCTCACCGGCAATCCACATTGTGATTCAAAGACAAGAACGGCGTTATACCTCTTGGATTTCGCGGGTGGACTTCAGCATCAGGCGGGCAGGCCACCATTTCTTTCTGGCCCTTCACCGCATCACTGACCGTGATCGAGTCGAGGGACAGAGGATTTTACACCTCATAACGGCTTTATAGTTACTTCAGAAGCCTACAGCTAAAGCTGAATGAGAATGATTTCAAAGCACTGCACAAGACAAAGTGCCTGCGCAGGAAGGTAGTTATGAAGAAGTGGGACCGCTCCAACAAGCAAATGCTGCTCATCCCAGTGGTTCCTGAGACACGGGCGCTGTTAGGTAGTTATTCCGCGCTCACAAAGTTGTCACCCACAGGAGCGGCGGCTCCTGTCGCCCTGACCAGCCCAGCCCAGCCCAGCCCTGCCCTGCTCGCTATACCCCCCCCGGCAGTGCCCCGGCCGGGAGCCGCGGGAGCCGGTCCGCGGAGGCGTCCCACCGCAGCAGCTTTTCTTTCACCAGCTCCCTCATACCCGCCTCTGCTCCCCGCTCCCCGCGCCGGGACCCGCTGCACCGGGTCCCCGCGGGCTCTGGCCTCCCCCCGCCGCCTCCGCCGCTCCCGGGCGCGGCCCCCCAGCCCCGGCCCTGCCCCCGGGCGCCCCCGCCGAGCTCTGGGCGCAGGGGCGGCGGTGGCATCCGCCGCCGGGAGCGGGGCCGGGCTCGGCGCCGGGAGCAGCGGCGGCTCACGCAGCCGCAGGGAAGAGGAGCCGCCGGGAGCGGCGGCGGGACCGGCCACCGAGCACGGCGCGGAGGATCGGCACATCCCCGTTCCGCCGGGGGCGGCTCTGCCAACCCCCGCCACCGCCTCCCCGCCTCCCTCCCTCCTCCCTTCCCTCCCCGCCCCTCGGTAGCGACATCCCTGCGAGTTTGCCTGGCTGTCCGTGCCCGTCGCTGGGTACCCGGCGCCGCATCTCCCCCTCCATCAACTCCTGGGAGCCGCCGGCGGAGGGCAGGGACCCGAAGTTGCGGCCAGCCCGGAAAGGGGAAAGTAGCAGCAGCGCGGAAGGGGCCGGAGCCAAGCGCAGCCTGGCCCAGCCGAGCGGGGCCGGCGCGGCGGCCGCCACCCGCA